GATTTCTGCCGAACTTTTGAACAATAACACCGGTGGAGGAATCACGGAAGTAGGCCTCGGCGAGACTTCATCGATTCCGTTCACCGAGCGAAACACGGCCTGAATTTAATAATTCCGAGGCCGGTATCAAGATCGTTAGAGGAATCTGTTATTACAGGTGCAGAGCGGCTTCGTTTCGGGCGCAGGTGGTGAATTTCTCTGCCGTCTTTCTCTCCTTCTTCTCTTCGAAGAGCACGCACAAACGATCGTAAATATTACCGTTCGGATAAGAGTTCAATTAGACAAAGTGCAACGCCAACCACGACCTTTCCCCTCGGCTTGTACGCGTTCGTTTGTACGCTTTCATCGCCACGGCGGACGAAAGATAAAAGATTCTCCTGTTAGTGGAAAATTCCATTTCACGCGTGTATAAATACAATCGCGTAGTAAGCGAGTCCAATCCGATTTCAATAATTTTTAACAATTTTTAATAATTTCACGTGTATTTCTGTCACAGTGCCCTCGTTCGAAAGCCTAGGAACAAGTATCAGGTTTGTTTTAAAATACGAAGCGTCAAACGACACTTTGGACAGGAAAGAATCCTGCGAAATGTCAATGCAATTGTGTTGCAAAATATGTATGTACACATATACGTAAAGTGCACGTGACTTAAACATTGTATTACCTGTAATAAGCATTGAATGTCAGATATAGGAAACGTTTGTGAGATTCTTCCTCATAATTGAAAAATGAGGAAATTCTACATCTTGAAGATCCGCGCGCGATGTCACACCTTTGGAGAGTATTCGGGTCAAGTTAATAAATTATCTTAATCGTCCGTCCTATTTGTTATTCTTATCTGTTTTCAAGATTAGTTTAAAACACATGGTTTCAGCATTCAAGTACTATAGAAAGCAAACGAAGTAGCACTCTCGAGTCTATGTATGTCGTTTCTCGTAAAAGAATGGATATTCGCTCGTGTCTTACCTTGCCTGTTTCGTTTTTCACGGCACATACGGCGTCATCTCGCGATATTTCGAAAAAAAAATTTCTTCATGCGATGCTAATCCGATGGTAATCTGGCTGCGTAAGTCGCGTATCTTTCTACCCGCGTGCTGGCGCCCGGATGGCAGAGAGGCAAAAAAAAAAAAAAAAAAAAAAAAGAAAAAAGGCGAAAATCCCGCTTCTCGAAACTGGCAATTATCCAGGCCACGTGTCATAAACCACGTAGACTATAACAATCCGTTTTAATATCACATGACGAATCACATTCTGTTTTCTCTGGCCAGGCGGGCGGGCCGTGCCCACGCTAATTGGTCAGCGTGATGCAAATACTCCACGTTCCGATGGGCTTTCGGACTATCGGTTACTGCATTCTCTCTCTTCGGACGTGGAGTCTTCACCCCTGATAAGCAGCTTGGAACTTTGTTTGACGTAGTTTGATTTAGTGGAACGTCGAACTACATCAGGAAACCCAATCGAACTAGCATCGATTTGCTTTGCCAGTAGACTTCTAGTTGGCTAAGGATACTCAGTTTGTCTCACCTCGTCTCGTTGAGTGGCGAGGAGGAACAGGAGGAAGGATCGATACAGAGGATTCTAGTCACGCTCGAGTAGCCAGTTTATTTCTCCTGCCTGACGTTGCCCCTGTTTCTTCGCGTCTCTCCGGCTACGAACGATCCTTCTCTTGCGCGATTCTTATCACCGTTTTTCTGATTTTCCAAATGTGATGCGCGAAACTGCAGTATGAATGTAATTGTATCGTACAGTGACGAAGTAAGGCATAGGTAGTAAGTTACGTAGCATAGCTCTTCGTTAGCGATGACAAATCATCCATATTTTTCATTTTACGTCGTATATCGACGAGTATAATACGGAACAATCGTTATTTACAGAATAGACGTTTCTTTTCAATTTATTTGAGATTTATGTTGAGTTGATATTGAAAGCAGTTGATCAGAGATTTTTTTTTAAAGCGAAAGTTTCAATTTATGATGTGATAAGAAACATAACTAGTCATGAAAAATAGTAGATACTTTGTATCTATGTAACCTCGTTATAACTTCAAAAAAAAAAGCAGAAATTATATTATAATTCACTTGGTTTCATTTTCAATGTAATGAAGTCTCGTCTTTGATAGTTTCATGTTTGTTTCTTTCAAAAATGTTTTTACATCATGTAACAGATGGAGGATATTTTTATTCTCGAAAGCAGTAAGAATTCAAACGTCGATAAAATCATTGAAAAATTTTTTTCGAGACTGGATCTACCATGAAGATTGAAATCTCCCTTTTATGTTACACTTCTTAAAATTTCCTTCGTGTTTTTTCTCTCTCTCTCACTTTATTGAATTTTATCAGAGTTAGACAACGAAATTTCAGAATCTTGAAAATTGTAAAAATTCAAAGCTCTTCTAAAAATATTGAAAAATTTCTTTACAACTATATATATCGATCATAATCTTGAAGTCTCCTCTTTACATCGATTTCTCAAAAACTTGCACCACGATTTTTTCCCTCCTCATTTTATTGAACTTTATTAAGATTGTTGGAATACAACGACTCGACCATCCAGCAGTGTAAGGCTGGAAAATGGTTTTATGAGAGGCAAAGTTAACATCTGTTTTCTATCCTCTGCTCATTATTCTCTACAGTTACGGACAGGACCATGCCGAACAGAAAGTTTAGTTCTTTGCCAGTCCTTGCCGCGTGACTACCTCATTTTTGTATCGCATATACTACTTGATTGTTAATATTTCATTAAATGAAGACATTAGTTTCTTTTCACACGGAAGTTTGTGTTATATTTTCATCACATTTTCTACAAAGATTAGTCAACGAAACGTCAGGATCTCGGAAATTATAAAAATTTCACACGTTTCTAAAAACACTGAGAAATTTTTTTCAGGGGTACATTTACCATGGCTTTTGAAGATTAAAATCTATCCTCTTAAAATTCTCTGTTGTACGATGTTTTTTTTATATCATTTTATCGAACGTTGAATATCAGAGTTAAACGACAAAAATTGAAGAAATTATAGTTCAATCAAATGGAGAAAGAAAATCGTACAACAAATTCTAAAGGATCGTCATTTTCTCTAAAAACAGAACAGAATCACTCTGTTATGGATGATGGATGGTAGTTTGGTCAACCTTGTAGAAAGTTTCGCACGTTCAATTTAGTTTGTGAGAATCAATATGCGACTGGCCATTAATGCTATATTAACTCTACGAAATTACGAGGTTTCCAACACGGTAATTTACTCGTGAGACGCAGGAAAGTGGAATTGAAACCAATACTGTCTTCGACGAATTACATCAATTTAATTATCGTAAATGATAAATGTAACAAAGTGAAACTGTTTGCAAAATATCAGACAGAAACGAACGAATTAAGAAATATTCGCGTTGTTCGAGAGATTTGTTAGAATCTAAGAATTATGAATGCAAAACTTAAATACAAAGCAACGTTTCTCAAAGTCCTCGGAAAGTTTGTGTTAGCAGAAACAACCCGTCCAACTCTCGGTTTGTTAACTTAGCTTGTTGTCTATTAATTATCGCATACCGGTGTTAGTTCGATGAATTTTTATTTACTATAAATTTTGATTCGATACATTCTAAATGTATCACAAACATTATATTCGAAATCTATCGATGCAGTTAATCGAGTGAAATATTATTTCTTTACGGGAATACATTGTACGCCAAAACTATTGCAACACTTGGAAATTTGGAGTTACACGAATCTGGAAATATTTTGAACTATTAAAATTTGGTTGAAAACTGAAAAAGCTTACACTGGCTATTCAACTTGCGCGGAATTGCCGAGTTTGAAATTTATTTCTTCGCGAACGTTTAATCAAAGAATTTCTTTCTTAAAGTGTCGCAAATTTTTATAACGAATGCCAAATTCGTTTGATTTTTTCTTTCACCCTTTTTTTTATTATGCGTTTAAAATTTTTAATTTTCAATGTAAAATGTACTTCAAGATTGAAGTTTCATACTGGTAAAAATATTAACCTAAAAATGGTTACAAGCCTTCCCCCTCGAGACTATTATGGATAATAGCAGAGTCTTTTCTTTGCATGTTAGAAACTGGAGGCATCCTTTATGTGACGGATAGAATACCGGTACTTAACCCACTCCAGATGGGTAACTCTTTTCAAGTTTTTTAAAACAGAAATGCTACATTAATATATATACTGTCGAGTAATTCCCACCTGGATCGGAATTCTCATTCAATTCACACAATTGGAAAAAATCATATTGCAAAACGGTAGACTTTGCAAATACGGACACGTAAGAATAAAAATCAAGAGATATTTTAATTCAACTACGGAAATAAATGGAAATGAATTACACGATATTTATTGCAAATAACAAAACTCGTACGCTACATTGTGGGGTACCAGAAAGAACGTGATTCTACATAAAAAAATAAGTCGAAAATGTGGAATAACGTTTCCTCATTTAAAGCTTCATATTTGAGAAAATAGACTTTGTTTCGCAAAAAAAAAAAAAAAAAAAAAAGACGCATATCTCCGAAACAAAAATTTCACCTTCATTTAAACTGCTATTAAAAAGCTCTTTATTCTTTATAAATTTGTTTATAAATTTTAGAAGTGTTAAATTAACACGCGAAAAAATAGGAAGAAGTTTGTAATGTAATAAACTTCTTAGTTTATAAACTTTATTGCATTATAAACTTCTTCCTATTTTTTCGCGTGTTAATTTCACGAAAAAAACCTCTTGCGCTGGAATGAGCATGCCACGCACGTTGAGAACTTTTTGCCCCAAAATTGCAATATTTTCTCAGTTTCATATTTAAATATAACCCAGGCAAAATAAAGTAATAAATTTATTACTTCTTAATAATTTCTATCTATAGTGACCGACGAGTTTAAAAAAGAAAAGCGAGGAGTTGGTATATGGTATACGGTTTGGTCACTCGTTACGGTCCGCGAGCCAGTTTGCCAGCGCAAGGGGTTAATGGATCGTTGGGCGAGCGAACTTTTTACTTACGGTGTCACACCCTCGACGTCGAAGAAGTGGAAGTGAAGATGGACCCGCTCGTTTGGGTGGCCATTGAAGAAGTAATGGCACTCGGTGTCGCGGGGATACAGGCCCGGGTAATTCGGCGAGGCGAACGTGCCGTTTCGTGTCTCGTTGCTGTTGTAAACAAAGGCACAGGGATATTGCGCCTCCTGCCGGCCTGTCGTTATCCCGAAATCTGAAACACACGTCGGGACGCAAACGTTATAGCGCGTTCTTTGAAATTTGCTCGCGAGTGTCGAGAATAAAACCCCGCGCCAAGTGGAAATAGCTTCCGGCCGGGGGCGCCACTGCCCTGTTCCGTTTCCAGGGAGGAGGCAAATATGACGGTGGCTCGACCTCGTTAATTAAATCGCGGCTGTTTCAAGTACTTAATTGCGGGAAGAAGGAAGTCGGTAACTTTGAACCGACCCTCGGATCACCTTTGTTCGCGCCTTTCTTCACCCGCGTAATGAGAAACCGTTCAAAGAGCGCGCTTCGGATAAGCGGATCCTTTTATCGGCCGATTGTTTTAAATTAATATTTACATTCTAATTGTATTACATATATAATATAAGAATAATTATTGTATTACAGGACATATGACTTTTTTTTTCATTATTATTTTTCATTTGTATGACTTTTTTTTATTGTTATTTCTATTATTATTTTTTGTATTACAGGACACATGACTTTTTTTTCATTATTATTTTTCATTTATATGACTTTTTTTCATTATTATTTCTATTATTATTTTTCATTTATATGAATTTTTTTCATTATTTTTAGGCGTACAATCAGCTCCTGAAGTGGGTCCCACAAGTTACGAAACACCCTGTATATAATATATACAACATATTATTAATTAATATATACAACATATTATTAATTATTTAGGGAATCATTTATTTGAAGAATCTGATTTCTTCGGTATTAACCGATCGAAATGACGGCTGATTAATTAATTAAATTCAAGTCTCGCTGCACGATTCGTCAAGTCGACGAAAATCTCTGTCGTGTGAAATATTCGTTCGAGGATTCCTTGACCTGAAATACGTACACCGCGAAAGTATTCGGACGCTCGATGAAAACTTGTCGATATTTTAAACCGTTGCGTGTATAATTCTGCGAAAAAATCTACTTGCGTTTATTTTTAAAGAGTCGGGTTCATTTTTTTTAAAGATATTCCAACGTCGATGTAGCGAGTGGAAAGAAGGTTATAAAAATTCGAACGTTTGTAAAAACATCAAAAAAATTTTTTTATGATTGAATCTACCATGGTCTTAAATATTGAAGCTTCCTCTTCGTAACAATTGCTTCGTACAATTTTTCTCACTGTTTTATAGAACTCTGAATGTTAAAGTTACGTAGCGAAAATTCGACGAATTATATATTATTAGAATTATCTTTTTTACTGATTGATTTTATTAACATTGTATTCTCATATATAATAAGAAATTTTAATAAAATGACAGTAATAATGATAATAATTTCACAATGTTAATTATTTTCATAACGTTAAATGTTATACGCACTGTTGTTCCTTTAATTTTTGAAAACACGGATGAATGTTTCGAAGAAATGTTGCATGGTTTCCAGAAGAGCATGCAACACTCTTAATCTTACTCGTAATCTTTTCTTTTGTTATTTAAATTTAAATTTAAGGGAAATTATTAATTTAATTAATAATTAAACTAGACAATAGATAGATGAATACTATTTGTAGAGAATGTCGAGCTGCATCGATTAATAGGTCAGAAAAATACATCATTCTATTTAAAAAACTGAAAGTGACCTTCGTAAAAAAAACAAAATAACAACAAAATCATTACAGTGTTATATTGTTCCTTCAGAAACCATGCAATTTTCCTTTGAAACATTTTCTCGTATTTTCAACAACGACTGAACCGGGTGTATTGTATGTTAAGCATGATTCTATTTAACAATTGCTTTCAATACAGTCAATCGGTTGCAAACACGTGGTAATTAAAAATACCTTACCCAATCGATAACTACGAAAATGTCCCTTAATATTTACCATGGTATATTAAATTGCCTTATGTGATTTATGCGCCAAAGTATTGACACATGAAGCTAAATTACACATTAATGTATCCAGACGACACATGAATTGTACATTCATTGACAAATTGAAGCAGCCTCTTCTCTCTCTCTCTCTCTCTCTCTCTCTCTCTCTCTCTCTCTCTATGGTTTGGTTTTCGAACATCTAGTTAATAATACGTAAGCAATTATGCTCTTGTTGTTTATTAATGCTCACCGTGTTATACAATATAGCGATTATGACAGTGACGCTTTATATATTTCGGCGCGCAGGGCTGTTCATTAACGAACGTCAATATTTATTAAGCGTACGAGATGCATAGCGATATCATGCAGGCAATCACAAACATCACGAAGTGATCAAATAATGTGTAAATAACGGCTAATAAGAGTACGTACGAAACGAGATTAGCCTGACCTGGCAATCCGGAACCGGTTGAAATTAACTCGGCGAATGAAGAAGACTGGCTTTTGCTTTTCATTTCATTGGGGCGTTCGAAAATTTTCGTACACGTTCTTTTTTCTCCCGTCATTTCTGATATTTCATCAGTATCAAGAACGTTGTTTGAGGTGTTAATTACAAAAAAAAAAAAAAAAAAAATCGATGAAAAGTAACGCACGCTTTTTATTACGATTGCAATTACTCGTCGTTGTAGAAGCAACGATATTGGATATTTTGTTTTTTAAGGTAATGGGACGAAACATGAAAAGACACATTCGATAACAATTATAAAAACCATTTAAATTTCAAATACCGTTCCATCCGCCACATTACATCCTCTTTAAAACCATTTAGTTACTATCCCCGCCGCATTCTACTCCCCAAGTTTTATTGACCAATAAAAATGTTCTCACCGCAAGGTACGCAAGAACGTGCGATCTACCATCCGCTGATCGCGCTAAATGTTTAAAAAGTTCCTCTTCCTCGCGTACCTCACTTTAATCCTCTTTAACATCTGCTGCATTCTGTATAGAAAGCGATGCAGCCAGGTTTCAACAATCAGGCCTAGTAACGACAAGTTCGTGCGAAAGTGATATGTAGTTACTCGAAACAAGGTAAATTCGAATTAAATACTTGCAATGTGTTCAATATTATATACATTAGGTGAGATTGAAGGTGACTGTGAAGATTAAAAGTTATTTCTATCTAATTAAAAATCAGTGTTAACAGCAACAGAAAAAAATAAGAGTGGTTTTTTTTTTTTGTAAAATAGAACGAAGTGACAATGCGACGAATTTGTCGATATTGATACAGTTCTAATTCATCTACTCATGTTTTATATGTGATTAAATGTAGACTAAATTCATCCACGATTTTTTTCCTTTCGTGGCAACTATTAAGAATGATTTTGAAAGTATACAATAATTCCGAATAATAATAGAAATAATTATACCGTGTCTTAAAATATGGCCAAACAGTTATGCAAAGTTTCTAATAATCTAACAATTTTTTTATTCAATAAATCTGAATAGAAATATTTCCTTAAACACACGTGAACAAATATTATTCGTCAAAGATTGCACAGATTAAAATTCGTTTAATACACGTGAGATAGAAACTTCTGATGTATACGAAATGTATTTGAAAATTATACACAAGCTACCAATTTCTCAGAAACGAAGCTTTGAACAATAAAGAATTTTATTCTACGCTTTCGACGTTACTTTCGCACGTAGAATTAACCTCTCGATCGTTGTTGATTGTTATCCTGTTCAATTTAGAATCAGTCGAGCGCGAGTATGCTTCAACGTCGACTTTCTCGAAAACTAAACCGCCGGCACCAAAATTCCACTTTTCCACAAAGGAATCGTCTCGTGCCCGATTGCACGTAACTTCCAGCACGCGCTCGCAAGCCAAACGAATTCATCACTCCGTGAGATACATTATTTCAAATTGCACTCGTCGTTCCTTTCATTGCAAATGACAAACGTGCTCGTCCTTGCTTTTAACGCCCATTAGAGCCTCGATCTTCCACCGAGTTTCCACCGGTCCTTTATACGCGATAAATTGTGTAAGAAAATATAATCGTTTTACACGATTTCACGCCCTCCACCCCCAAACGAATCGTTTCGTCCGCTGAGACGATAAAAGTTTCGCGACTGGCGCAGTTCAGTGACGCCGGTGCCACTGAATCGCAACTTCTGAACCTCTGACAGGGTACGAAGGGGGGGAGGGGGGCGGACGACCGAAAATTAAAGCTCCACGGCGAAATGGGTTAATTATAAGATCGGGGCAAGGGGGAGGAGGAGGAGGAAGGTCGTCAGGCCTCGTTTGAAATCGTTTGGGTAGGAGGAGAGGGCATGGCCGGCAAAGTTCTGCGGCGAAACTTCCACCGTTCAGTTCGCCAAAGTGTACTCCATCCGCCCGTTATATATGCCGACCCAAGTTTCCCTCGCGATTGTAAACATCGAGTAATAAGCTTTCGCGGACGCGCCGCGCACTTTCGTGCTTAGTTAGTCGCATTTGTTATAACGGTGATGCGCCTCGTCGAAGCCTCTCTTTCGTTCGAAGCGCGACAAAGCGGCGTGCTGACCTCGTTCGTTCAAACGTAAACGCCACGTGCAATTGAACTTTCCTCTGTTGCAAACGTTCTTCGCTAAGCTACTGTAAAAAGTGCCGACCAGAAGGTATATTTATCTTCCCTAGAAGTGGATTGGAGATTGTTTTCTTCTCTTTTTTTTTTTTTTTCGTTCTTCTTATCGATGCCCGCGAGTCGCGACACCACATTGAAAACTTTCGTTTCTCGTTCGTTCGAGTTATCGTATCGCATAAGCGTCGGGAGGATGTCGTTCTTCTCTGTCGATCAAATTATATTATATTAGACGGTCGGATAAATATGTAGCGGCCTATAGTTTCCTCAAGTACGAGCCTGCAAACCTGCCTGCATACTCGACGAAAATAATAACGACGGGTACACGCAAGAAGAGGTACGACCGCGCATAATTCGCGATCGGAGATAAGCAAACGCAATCATATGTATACGCGATCAGGTCGTCGAGTTAGGTACGCTGTGGTGAACACAATGTAAAATTTTTCTTGTAAATAATTGTAAATAATAGTATTAAGCTTAGAATAGTAACGTTTACACTGGCAAGGGAGTGACGTAGCGGCCTATAGTTCCTCCAGTACGAGTCTCG